GACAGGCACCAAGCCCTGGGGACAGTCACAGACCCCTTGGGACAGGCACTGACCCCTTAGAGACAGGCACCAACCTCTGGGGACAGGCACCGACCTCTGGGGACAGGCACCGAGCCCTGGGGACAGGCACCAAGTCCTTGGGACAGTCACAGACCCCTTGGGACAGGCACCAACCTCTGCAGACAGGCACCAAGCCCTTGCGACAGTCACCGAGTCCTTGGGACAGTCACAGACCCCTTGGAACAGTCACAGACCCCTTGGGACAGGCACCGACCTCAGGGGACAGGCACCAGATACCTGCGCTGGCCTCTAAATACCTGGGTTGGGCATTAAATATCACTTAGCCCCCGATCAGGGCACACGTGGGAGAAGGCAGGAGGGCCGGCATGGGGAGAAGGTGGTGGCCGTGGCTGCGGAAGCCCCCAGCGCCTCGTGGAAGCCACGTGCCGGGGTGAGGTTGGGCCACTGCATCACCTCTCGAGGCTCCTGAGGTTCCTGGTACGGAGGCAGGCTGTGGACATCTGCCTTCGCCCTCCCAGCTCTGGGGTCTGGAGCACATCCCAGCACCGCTGCCCAACCACAGCACAGCCCGGGGTGGGAGAAGCTCCCATGGCCCCGGTTAGGGGATGCCGAAGCGCCGATGCTGCCCTGTGAGCCCCAGCTGAGGCCACACACCTTCCCAGGTGCCGTGAGCTGTGAGAATCAGGAAAACCGCTGGTACCGTTGGGGTCAGCCCCGTGGTTGCCCGTGGGTCTCAGCGTGAGGGTCTCACGCCAGGGCAAGGCCGCGCCGCTAAGCCCTGCAGCGCTGCGTGGTTTGTCTTACTGCTGGGAATAATTTCGGAAAAGAAAATGCGCTGCAACATCAGCCCCCTGAAAGTTTGCCCTCCCCTCTTCTATGCCACCCAGCGCAATCTGAGGCTACCTGTGAATTAATTAAACCTGGCCGCACCGTAACAACCTCCCTCCCTACCCTCACTGCCTTCCATGTGGTGGCACGGCGGGCACCCCTGTGCAATATGGGGATCCCCTGCGTGGCACAGGGCACCCCGGTGTGACACACAGGGCTCGCCGGGGACCACGCAGAGCACCCCGTGCGTGGCACATGGTGGCGGCAGAGCCGTGGATGCACAGCCCTGCCGGTTCCTCTGCACCCTCACCCCAATTTGAGCCTCCTCGAGTTGGGGACATTAACCTGTGCCCCAGCTGGGGACATTAACCTGTGCCCGAGCTGGGGACGAGCCCAGGGAGTCCTGGCTCAGCTCCGTGCCGACAGCTGGGGCAGCGTCACCCGCACTCGGATATCTCTTGCCCACAGCAAACATTACTAAAGAAAAACCCTTGAGAGATCCACAACGTGCCATGGGGCGTGCAGGGGGGGCCGTGTGTTCCCCCTCACATTTTTGTTCAGGTCACGGGGGAGAAGCCGGGCTCCGTGGCCGTGGGAGGTTTCCCTTCGCTTTCAGGAAAGCGCTTGCAGCAGTCTGCGTGCTGCAGGAGGAGAGGGGCAGGTTTCCAGGGCTGGGGAGATGGATGTGCCGTGGCCCCGCCAGGCTTTAGGGCAGCCTCATGCAAACGTGAGGGTCACGCACCTTTAACAACCCACGCGAGACCCGGGGCACAGCCTTCCCCGTGAGCCACACCGAGGGGGGGAAAATCGCACGTGTAAACATGGCTTTATTTTCGCACAAGCTGCGGGCAAAGCCAGATTTTGCAGGGCTCCTTCCCTGACTCCGAGCCTCCCCCAAGCCGGAGGGTCCATATACCCCGGGGACCCTCACATGATGCTTTCCCCTGCTCCGGGGGACCAAACCCAAACCGAGCAGCATCCTCGGTGCATCAGGGAAGAATTAAGCACTCCGGCAGCTCCGTGGGACGGGGTGGGTTTGGAGGCCGATGGATGCCACGCGGGGTGGGGCTCCCCGGGGTAAGCTTGGTTGTGGGGTAGGGAAAACCCCGCCTGTAGGACCAGGGCCACGCAGCCAATAAGCGCGGCGGCCCGGAGTGGAGTGATTCTGCATCACGGCTCAGGGCCCGTGATTACATCATGTCGGTCCTGCGGGGATGGCAGCGGGGCCACGTGGTTGCTTCGGAGTCGCTGAGACGTTTTCCTGAGCGCAGGCTTGGAGGAAACCGCAGGGATGAGACAGAAAACAAACCGGCCCCAAGACGGTTGGGTTCTGGCCACCGAGCCGGCCAGGCAGGCTCGCACGGCTGCAGCTGGCTCCGGTGGCTATGTAGGGCTTGCCGGCGGCGTAGAGCATCGTCCCGAACCGCACTGGTGGCAGCAACAGGCTCCGGGACGTGCTGTGCTTCAGCTGCGGAGCCCAAATGCGGCAGCCCCAGGCACCCTGCGTGGAGCATCCCCCATTCTGCTGCCTCCTCGCTCAGCTGGGTGGGCTTCCCCAAAACGCTGTGCCTGGCCAGATGTGAGCCCCAGGATGTTTGCAGCCTGCCAGCATATCTTAACCCTCCACTAAAAGCAGCCCTGACCGCCCAGGGCTTTGCTGGCACGCCCCACTCCCAGCCTTCAGCACCCCTTGTGCTCCGGGGGTTGTTTTGCTATGGCAGAGCGCGGTGTTAATCATTAATTTGTGTGGCAAACAGATTCAAAGCCTCTTCTCTCCTTCACTACCTGTAACTCCTCTTTGTCAACTATCCCTTCCTGAGCCAAGGCTTGGGTAAACATGTAGCCGAGACCAGCAGCACTCCAGTGTGCTGTGCAGCCCCCGCTCAGGATTTATTTACCCCGAGGTGAAATGGGAAAAGGCAAACGCACGTGTGGTCACTTCCCATTCACACTGGGATCCAAACTCAGTGCCCAATGCTGAAAAGCAGCGACATGCACCCTGAGGCTCAGCCTCTACCGGGCTCTGCAGTGTGCTTTGCACTGGGGCTCAGCAGCCTGCGGTGGAGGGCGGTGATCTGCAGAAGCCCCCAGCCCATGCTGGGAGCTTGCACGGTCTCTGCAGGAGCCCAGGCAGGTTTGGAGACAAGAAGCCTGTCAGGGTTCACAAACCCAGGGAAGCCGTGCTCAGTTTGGGGAGTCAGGTGTCACCAGTGGTTGGAGGCTGGGGCTGCACACATGCAAAATGTCCCCACATGCTTGTCCTGCTCTTACACTCTTCCCTATGCACCCACTTTGGCCCCTGTTGGAGACAGAATTTGGGGTTAGAGGGATCTTTGCCTTATGCGTTTAACCGTGGGGCTGCAGAAGACAGTGTGGTGCAGCCGCCCCTGGAAGGCAGCAGCCGCCGGCTCTGACAGCCTTCGCCCTGCGTAGCACTGGAAATTTATGACCCAGTGCTTTTTGTGCGATTTCTGCTCTGTCAGGGCAGCGGTAGCTCTGCACCTTTCTCAACAGAGCTGGACCATGAACCTACGGGAATATATCCAACACAGAGTCAGGCACATGATCAGTGCGATGGTAAACAAGGCAGGGCAGAGCTGGATTTAATGCATGCTAATCTGCAGCTCCAAGGAGGGGAGACCCATCTTTCAAGCTGTTCCACACACAACCCTTCCCCAAAGCAGCTTTTAAACCACAGACCATTAGTTTTGATCTTTGTGTGCGAGACAGAGGGCACCATTCTGATAAATTGGTTCGTCTTTGGCCAAAGTAATGCCGTGTCACTTCTCCAGGGTTCTGAGATGGCTGCTCTTCCTTCTCCTCTGTCCATCACAACCACCATCATAAATAAGGATGTTGGAACAAATTCCTGGCTGATGAGTCAGGAAGTCGCCCATTGCATGGGCTGGGAACATCACCTGCATTGCAGTGCACAACAACTTACCTGTCACTTTCTAGGTCACCAAGGCAGGTGATCTGAAGTTACCCCCTGAGAACCATCCGGCAAGCCCTGCAAGGCAGGCAGGGGTCCCACCAGGCACCAAGGTTGTCACCTGTGTGCCTGTCTGATGTCTGCCACAAAAGATGTACCAAAGATTTAGTGAGGAACAAATTTACCAGCAGTGGCAACACACCACCGTGCACAGCAAGACCCATGTAAAGACACAAAGAGCATCTTCTGCTGGGGAAACCCCTTCTCCCAGTCAGAATACCCAGGCCTCTGTCATTTGGAGGAAACCGAGGATTCCCAAAAGCCTGCGTCGTGTTTTGACATCTGACGGGCACCCAATGGCAGCTGCAGACCCTGCGCGTCTCCCCCGCTCACTCATACCGTGTGTTCAGGCTGGGCAGCGAAGCAGAGCGAGACACCACGTGAGAGACAGACTGATACCATCCTCCAGGTCACACTAGTAGTGTATTTATTGGAATATCTCACATGCAGGAACCAAAGTAGAGATGATTTCTGGAGCAAGTTAAACAATGGCAGATTAATACAGTTGTATCATCCTTAATGTAAACACTTTCTATGTGAATACAGCAACATTTTAGTGTTGGGTTTCTTTGCTTTTTGTGTATTTTGTTTCTCTTTACACAGTCAATCTCTTTAAAACAGTTACGTCCCCCTTCTCCCCCTGCCCCATTCCCAAACAAAAAAATATCCAATATCTTCAGTAAATAAATATTATCCACTTTTATCTGGAAAGCCTACAGCTGTAATATACAGAGAAGCTATTACACAGGTTACATTTGTAGGGTTAACGATAGCTCATAATAACATGTACAGAATGAGGAGCTTGTACTCATAAAAACACAGAGCAGGGTGAGAATTCTGGCGTAGGTTTGCCATGGGCTAAAGAGAACCAGCACCGGAGCTCGGCACCGCTTGAAAGCCAGCCGGCTCTCGGTGAAACGCAACCTCGCCTCTCTCCTGGATGGAGGAGCAACCTGGGGCACGGTGTGGGGAGGCCAGGGCTGGCAGCCTGGGGATGGAGCAGGCGGGCACAGCCCGCTCCAGAGGTTGCAGTTTGGGAGGGACGAGTGGAAGGTGCTGTGCGGGCACCAGCGATGCCTCTGGGCACCTGGCAAGGGGATTGCTGCCTCCTCTCCTCTGGGGGTGGGCAAGGGTGGGTGGGTGCCCCCAGCAGCTGAAGGGTTACCTCCAAGGCAGCTAGAAATCCACTCACTGATTGCCTGCTTCATTATTTCCATAAAAATAACTGTCCTGAGCTGTTTTTTTCCAGGGTAGGCTCCGCAAGCCTTGTGGTTAGCATTTAGGAGGTAAACAATGACTGAGCTGGATGAGGCTGGCCTGGGGATGGAGATAGCACAAGCAGTTCCCACTCCACAGGACTCCCAGCAGCCGCAAGAGACTTGACAACTCATCGGATGAAAAAGACTGTTGAAAATGCTGCTGTGTTTGCTCTCCTGGTCTGCAAGTCCTGTCCTCATGGGTGAAAGCAGGAGAGCATTGAATAGAGAGGAACAGGAACAGGCTGCGTTGGCCAGGGTGCCAGGGAAGGGTGAGCCCAGCTCCTGCAGCAGCTTACAGAGGGGGACCATCACCCCTGCCCTGGGTCTGAAACCATCGCCTGGATCTGTTCTTCCACCACTGGAGGGAAACATCTCGCCACCTCAGCCAGCTCTGCTGCATCCTCCATTTAAAAGTGGAAACAGCCAATGTATCCCATAAAAAAAGCTGAACCAAGTCAAACGAACAGAAACCCCCACTAAAATCCTTTTTCAGCTTGGAGGTGTAAAAACAGCCCTGGAAATGGCAGAGCGGCTTTGATCAGCACATTTCAGAGATGGAGGCTGTGATAATTGGAAGGGGAAAGGTATGTGGGAGGCTACGTGAGGGTCCCAGTAAGGACCAGTCTCTGCATTTATGTTGTTCCCTTTAAGAGACACCATGCTACGTTTTTATGAGCAATTCTCCTATGAGCCTTACCTACATACTAAACACCCTAAATATCTGTACAGCACATTGTTATCTATTACACCTGCCAAAGATGCAGCTGAAATCTACACATAACAATTAAAAAACCCGAAAGGATATATTTAAATAGAAACCATTCATTTCTTACATCTCAGCACATGAAGGGTTAACAGAAGAGGTTAAAAAACACACTGGAAAGAAAATATATTGACAAAATAAATATTTTAACCTAGATTAGGGTATGATTAGAACTTACAAAGGACCCCAATAATAATTTAGTGTCATTGAGTGTCAAGCTGTGACTCCTAATATGCCTAGGAAGCGTTGGGATGTTATTTTTCATGGAAAGTGGATCAGGCTGCAGCTCCATCCCTCTTCTCGCAAGCGTCGGAGCCACGCAAGTCCTCTGCCCACTTGCACAGAGGAAGCACTTAGAGTGAAAGCGAAGGGAGAATAAATCGAGAGGTCGGTCTTCTGAAGCGAAAAACCCCTTCCCTTTCCCTCGAACAGTTTCCACCGCTCAGGTTTTCTGCGGACCACAGGAGGATGGGGAAGATGAGAGATCCTGATACAGGACATTAGGGAAGCTCTAGCATAGCTCTTACATTTGTTAAAGAAGGTTTGGGCTAAACCACCTGTTCTGCCGCATGCTCTGTCCCCTTCGGTGCTTCCAGCCCCTGCATGCTCAGCCCGCGAGAGCCAGGTCTGGTGGATTCAGGCTCCAAATTTAACTCACATCAGGGCTGTGCTTTTACCAGACCCGTCAAAGGTCCCACCAAAAGGACGTTTAGCCATTGCCCCAGGCTGAGAACACACCTCTCAAGGAAGGCATCTCCTGAGGGCTGCCCTACTTCCAGCAAAGCCGCTGCTTGTGCTGACGGCACCTGCCACCCCCTGCAATATCCAGCAGATAACGCGGGGCGTCAGCGGGGACCACAGAGTGCCTGAGGTTGCAAGCACAGAAGAGTCCCTTGAGCTGTGCCAACACATGCTCCTTATCTCCCCTCAGCCCCAGCCTTCCTGTTTCATCTTTTTTCCTCCCCGGTCAGAGGGAGCAGTCACTGACAGCTCTGCAAGATCTTCCAGAAAGGGGCCAGATTCTCTTTAAAGCAACAACTTGGAAGTCCCAGGACAGGTTTAGCATGACAGAAAGAAGTGTTAACAGCGCACACACCCCTCTGCCCCCCTTTTTTTTTGCTTAGGGGTGGGATAAGAAGGGCCAGCAAATCCACAGCAGTGGGACTCTGCAGGGGGGCTCGATGACAGCGCTGGTGATATCCTTGCCACTCAGCATCATTTGACAGTGTCCCCATGCTTGAGCAATGCGATTATCTCCTCCGGCTTGGCAGGGAAGCTGGATTAACATGCTTAGAATCACCTGATGTGGCCATTTACAGGGTCAATGTGTTTCAAGGATTTAGAAGAGCAAATACACACTTAAAACACCCACGGAGCTTTTTGCTTTGACAGGAATACCAACAATTCATTCTATGCTGGCAAGACTGCTCAGGCAGTCACCAGACACTGTCTGAAATCAAATCAGCATCACAACAGAAGTTTCCTCAGGTTTCTGGGAGCTGGTGGCCACATCCGATATGTTGCAGCAAGGCAGAGTCTGGCAGGAGCTAGCAGTGGGGTGTCTGGCAGCCAGTATCTGAGCATTAGGCTCACCTTGTGTTAAACACCGAGGGCAGTGGGCAAGAGCAGCAGTGCATACATGCAACCAAGGCAGACTGTCCTGGCACTTTCCATTAGCCACAGAGAAGATGAAATGGAGAGGAAGCCTCTGCAGACCCACATGGAAGGGCTTCAACTGGGGAAAGTGCCAGCAAGTGGGGAGAAGCAGCAGCTTGATCCCCAAGCTATCTCCATCCTTACAGTGATTTTCCCTGTCCACTTGCAAGCCATGCTACTTTCTGCACAGTGCAGAGCTGACAGGGAGCAGTGAGCTACAGAGCAGCAAGCCACAGAGCAGAGATGAGCACTGGGGGATGGCAGGGCAGCCTTGCCTGGGCCCAGCTACATACAGAGGGATCCTGGAAGAGGATGCAGGCAGGGCAGGACAGAGGAGAGGATGAGCAGGGACAGCACAGAGTGACATCGGACCTGGGACGGCCTGGAAATCCTACCCCAAACAATGCTTCCCTCCGAAGATTAATGTGACTGCTCTCAAAGACCATCAGTGCTGCAATCGGGCCATTTGGTAAAAGGTTTTATGTGTCACAACCTACCAAAGCGTGGCAAACCCTAGAGAGTACGTTATGAGCTGAAATAACTATGCTCAGAGAAAAGCTTCTATCGCTTTCACATCAGCTGTTTATAGCACAGCTTCTTGGTCTAGAACAACTTCTGAGGGAGCTTAACACACATCAGCATCCCGGGAAGCTCAGACATGCCAAGTCAGAACAAAGTGGCTGGTTGCCTAAGACAATGAGCGCCCTGAGGAAGAGGGGCTGGAGCGCTGCTGCCTGCATGGGTGTTCATCTGATAAAGTGCCTCTCTGTCAGGACAGGAGATTCTCCCTGCCATGCATTCAGCTCTCTCTTTGATCCTGCCATCTTGCGCCACTGGCTTCCTACCAAGGAACATGCTGGGGGATGCAGCGATGGCTGGAGCTGCCTGCTCCAGCTCTGCTTGTCAGCCCAGCAAGGCAGGCACACATGCTGGAATCCCTTCTGGCAGCTCCAGGAAGAGCAGCACTCTCGACCATGCCTCTGGCAAGCAAGGGAATATGCTTGTTTGCACAGACAGGAGGGACACTGCAGCCCCGTAGGAGCTGGGAGTTAATAAAGGGGCAGAGGTATCAAAGGACACTCCAGAAATTACAAATAGCACGGCCACAATCATCCAACACTTTGTCAGGCCCAAACCTAGAAGGAAATGAGGAGTTTCACCTCCAGCACAGGCAGGCATGGCTAATCCCTCCACAGTAACCACCTCCCTCAGCATTTTCATACAAGCCTCTGTGAAGTTTGCCTCTTTTTCTCATACCTACCACCAAGAACCAGTGTGTCTATCCTACCGGGCATGGCAGGGAATGCAGGAACCTCAGTTCACACCCAGTCCATGAGCAAGTCCCATCCATCTGTATGGATGTTATTAACAACAGCTGAGACAAATGCAGAGCTCTACAGTCACTGAAGAAGGAATCTAAGGTAAGGAAAAAATAACCTAGCTATTTTAAAAGGCAAACAGACTAGAAAAAATCCTCATGTGAGAATGCTCTCCCAAAGAGCAAAATGCTTCACGCGCTAACGTTACAGCATCCATTTAGCTCAGCGTTTTTCATTCTCATCAACTGCCAGAGCTACTGGACATGGCCAACAGACTGCTTTCAAATTAGAGCAAGCCCAGATAAAACACAAGGAAAAAAAATACCCTGTGAGATTTAGAATATGAAGCGCTGCACAAAGTGGGGAAAAGCGACCACCATATGGTACCAGGAGATGTGTGAGTGGGAGAGTAAAGGATTTTAACTTGTGAAGCACATGTTGAAAGGGGAACAGTTGTTCCTTGCTGTCGAATCCGACACGAAAGCCAATACATTAACATTTTATCTAAAAATAAAGACACGCTCCTCCTGAACATTCCAGCTCAGTCAATTACATGCTGATCGACAGAGCAGTCTACTTGGCAGGACCTGCCTACAGAAGAGGATGATCCCCACATAAATTGAAGGGCAAGGCTGCTCTCTCCCCTCTGGGCTTTTGTTTCAACACAGTGTGACGTACTCATGCATTCTAAAGGGGTTTTCAGCATCAAGAGCTGGTTTTGTGCAGCTGGGATAGGAAGGAGGGGATTAAGCGAGTGCTGGAGAATCGTGGTCTGGCAGGAATAGTGTTGGACTTAAATAGAAAGAGTCAGCTTGTGGGGGTGGATTGTTTGGGGAGGGGGGGAAGGAGAAGCAATCTATGAAATCAGGGGGAAAGGGGTTGTTGTTAGCCAAGTACGGTGGGAGGACAAAGTGGCCGTACAGCGACATTCGCCTGCAGAGCACGGGGGTGGGAGGGCGGCTAAGAGCAATCTTCACAGTGCAAAGAGGGCATCCTCCGAGCGCTCTTGCTTTTTCCTGCTGGAAGGATTTGTTGGAGGGGTGGGGGCTTCCAGGGGAGGGGATGGCAGATTGGGAACCATCTCCGCCGCTTTGGCTCGCTCTTCTAAAAATTTGTCAAACTCTGCAATGCAAAAAAAGAAGGAAGACAGGTAAGAACAAGGGCTCTACATTTAGCCCTGGGGACAGAGGTTAGCAAGGTCTGAAATTCCAGCACCTGGTGTCCCATCGGGCTGTGTTCGCAGGCACACATACTTGTACAGCCTGACATCCTCAGGAAAGGGTACAGACGTCCTTTGAGACACCCTAGCTCAGGCAGCAAAGGGAATCAAACCCACACTACACCATCGGCTGTGACAGAAGCGGGAAACATCATTCCAAAGGGCTGAGCAGCCTGGGGACGCATTCCTGCTGGCACAAACACAGTGCACAGCCAAGAAAGATGGCAGGAAAGCACTTACAGCCGAGAGGGCTCCTCACACCATAAATATGAACTTTTTGCTCTGAAATGCTCTCCTCACGCCTTTCCGAGTGCAGAAGCATTTGCTGGGGAACATCAGGCTGGGAGAAGTCAGCATTTCAGCAGGGATCAAAGCAGATAATTCAGTCTGCGCACTAACCTGAGAATGGCTCATAGCTACAGGCATCTCTGCTTACCTTCACTGGTCACTCCTTCTTCCAGTTCGTCTCCTTTCTGCAATTGGAACAAAAAGGTGTGTGAACACACAGGCAGTGCTTCACCTTCGCTATTATCCTCTATGCACATTTAATGCAACTGGACAGTTTCTACCACTTCTTTCCACATGCTAACTATTTGAGCAGGGCGACCTGGGGAAATCACGCAGCTCCCATGTCAGGAAGCCAATGGTGATTGACATTTCACTGTGCTGCGGAGCAAGAGGATGAGCACTAGAGATGCTTCTGAAGATTGCTCGTGGATAGCTAAACTTTCCCCGTTGGACCTGAATGGCAGTCCAGCGCTGTTTCCAGTTCAGACAGTAGGCTTGGTCAAAAACTGAGCTGCATGAGTCACACAAATACTATACAAGATGCCATCTTTTCTGTCACGTGGTCCTTTAAAAAGTCAGGACTGCTGTTTGCATTGTGTCTTCAAATAAAATGCACTTTTAGCTGACAAAGGACACATGCCACAAAATAGCTTGGGGCCAACGTTCCTCCTATGGGAGTTCACTTTAGATTTCATACAAAAATATAGCAGCTTTCCTGGCATCCATGCTGTACAAAGATGAGATTAGGGTGGGCTGGATGAAGGATACTGATGGCCAGTTAGCATCCATGAGATACAAGGGCTGGGATGCCAGGGGGTCAGTCCATTTCTACCAGCTGTGTGCATTTCAACATGTAAATTTCCAATAGTGCTTTTATAAGGAAATTAAAAGTCCAAGGATGTGGCATCCTTCTCAATCTGCCACTATGTTAAAGATGAATGAAAATACTACTTGGAAACCTCATGTTGACCCTGCTTTGAAAAAGAAAAGTATCTGTCCGTACTGTGGCTTCTTTACCAGGAGAGTGGAAACTTACTGATTGGCCTCACAAAGGTTTTTAATGCCTGAGCATTAAAGCCACCTAGCATCTACTAGCTTTCTACTGCACAGAGGTTTCCAAAGGTACACACAGCAGCCACTGCCTCCCATGCAGAGGTACTGTTCTGATGTACCCCAAAAAGGGTGAGGAAATAAATAATGATTAGCTAGCCTAATCTGTAGCTTCCTCAGCTGGGAAGCAGAGAACTGAAATGAACCCTTAACAAAAAAAAGGAGGAGGGGAACCCAGAGTGAAAACCAAAAATCCAGTCCAAAGTTTCTTAGAGGGCATGTCTATGCTGCACCCACATATGGTCAGGATGGGGACCCAGGTACCCAGGAGAAGGGAAGCCGGTACAGTCACAGCCGCAGTGTGTGCGATCCCCAGGCTTGCTCAGGCATTTACATGGCACTTCTCTGCTCTTTTTGAGCAAGACTGTCTAGGGGATGACAGATATACAGAGCTACCTTGATCTCCCTCCATAAGATCTTATCTCCTGCTAAATTAATTTAAATGGCAAAGACAAAAGTTTATTGTTTAAGCAGAGCGGACATGCTACATTTACTGTATCTCTTTAACAAAATGAGGCCAGTTTCTAATTAAATTAGAAAATGACTGCCTGTACTGAGGCCTGAGAAAACTACCTGCAGCTGAAAACCAGTGACATTTCAAAGACAGCCAGTCAGTCTGCCAAACTCTAACACTGAAACCCAGAATCTGTTTAAGCACTTCAGGCGGCTTTGGAGAGCAGGAGCATTTTCTTCCTTTCAGTACAGTCAGCTCCTCTGGTGCAGGAGCGGAGGGCTGACATGCTGGAGCGTGCCTGCAGCTCTGCTGCCAGAGCTGGGGAGCGGAGCCTGAACCCCACAACTCCCAGCCAGGAGCTGAGCAGGCAATAGCAAGGGGCTGGGGGAGACCTTAAGGTGTAGGGAATTATCTAGGGACAGTATCTGAAGTCATAAGAAGTAATAGAAGGAGATGATCCTTAGGGATACGGTGACCACAAGGAAACAGTTCAGTTCACTAAAGCCATGTTTAAAAGAACAGTCTGAAACGCAACCCACCACTGGTCCCCAAAAGGCACTTGGTCAATTTGAGTCAGATGCTTACATTAAAAAAAAAAAAAAGACCGGAGTAGATGCGTACTAGCTGTACCACTGCTTAAACCGAATGTGTATTGGTACAGGAAAACAAACTCCAGAATGAAGGCAAAGCTACTTTTAGTTCTGTCTTTTGTTTGCTTGTTTGTTTAATAATTACCAGACAATAATCATTTAGGAGAAACTGAAAGTTATAAATATTGAAGAGAGACTGTTATAAATTTTTATTATGACTATTATGAAACATGTCAAGATTGCTTGCCAATTTAAAAAACATCTCCATTTGAAAGGAATCTAAGCCCTGATCCAGCATCTCTTAAATGCATGCCTCAACGTAAGCACGTACTTAGATCCTGTCAAAGCTAATGCAGCCTTAAACATATGCTTTAAGTCCAGTGCAGAACACAGGTAAACCTCAGCACATGTTTAAATGCTTTCCTAAACGGGAACCAGAAACATGATTTCTGGAATGCATGCTATTCTGTGGTGTTAACATGGAGAAGTGAAAATAAAACAACTCAGAAAAAAACTGTTTTGATTGAATTGCTGAACATGATGCTATCTCCTCCTGCTTAGATATTCCCTTCAAAGGGAAATAAGCTACATGATTTGGAAGTTTCACTGCCTCCCATTACGAGAAGTACCAGTAACTCAGCAATGCATTGAAAGTTATCCGTACAAGTGCTATTGCCCATGTGAAAAATGAAAATATAAAGGGTCTCACCAAGTCGGTACTGAGCCACTCCTCAATGTCATCCATGACAGAGGACTGTGCAACAGGGATCTAGGGAGTGCAGCGAGAGAACAGCAAGGCAGGCAAAAACCAAAACACATCCACAATCATGGCCACAGAGCGATGGAAAACGCCAGAAATAAGATTAAAAACAAAACAAAAACAAAGATGTAAGATGTGCTGGAAAAAAAAGGCAACAAAATATAAATGGCATTTCAAATAAAGAAACACTTGGAAAGGAAATTATGAACAACAAGGCTAAAAAAAAAACAGGAGAAAGATTATGGGGAATGACGTGACTTGATGCCAGCGTAAGACGGGTAACTTCTCGACCACATATTAAAACCATCAAGATGGACTGATGATTCTAATCTTGATCGTGAAAAGCTTTTAAGGGTAGAATACTGGATATCAGTTAGGTTTTGAAATGTTAAATTTACCTTTTACTTTTTAAAATGGGTATTAGCCACAGTGAAGGGTTAGCAAAGAGGGGCTCAAAGTCTTCAGGCAATGCTCCTATGAAAACAATTTGATTTTCTCCACAGGTGGAGGCAGGCAGAGCCCAGGGTACACAGTCATGTTTCCTTCCAGATCCTCCTCCCACCACACCACTGAGCCTTGGCAAGCCTCGGCACACCAGTTTAAAGCAAAAGCATCCCGGCTCCCTGGTCCCACTCCTCTGCCAAAGGTGACCCTCTCGCAGCGGAGGCGGCAGAACCCAACGTGTGCCAGTGCTTAGTGCGGAGTCTCAAAGGTGAAGGTGAGGAGGAGGACGGGGCAGCAACTCCTGGTGAGGGCAGAGGAGGAGAGCACAGCACGCACTCCTCTCGGCTCCAGCACCAGCAATGCCTTGTAGTGCTCCAGCAAGGCTCACCGGAGCCTGCCTGTCAGGCCTCCACGGACAGTTTAACAAGAAGGCATGGAAGGTTTGCCTCTCCTCCCGTGATAAAACCGCTCACGTTACGTTGTGCAATTGCAACAGGCAGCACAGATGCAGCGTGCTGAGTGCTGAGGTGCAGCTATTTCACAAAGCGCTACAAGCAACTGGGTCAGCGAAGGGAAATTACTGCGTATTAGGTGTAGAATTTCCTGACTTAACTACGCTGCTTAAATACACCAGAGGGCTGCAGAAGTAAACAGGAAAACACCACAATAGAACTCGTAAGGACAACCTGAAAAACATTCGGAAAGCAATGTCAGACACGCAGGTTCCAGGCCAGAGCACAGTGGCTGAGCAGCAGGGCTGGCAGACAAGATCTCGCGGTGCTGGCGAGGCTCTCCTAGGAAGAAAAAGTGTCAGGGGTTGTCCACAGCTTTGCCTGAAACCTCTCATGGGAAGAAGAGATGAAAGAGGCTCTGCAGATGAATTCGCTGGGAGACGTAGTTTTGTCAGGGACTTCTAGTGGAGGAAGATAGACAGACGCTGAATTACAGAGGCAGCAGCACAGGCTGATGCTGTTTTGCAGAGCTCCTCAAGAATTTTTTTTTCTAATCAAGTGGCCCTTTGCACTGAAGAGGTCAGTTAAGCCCTTGCTTGAGGTGAGGTCTGCTAAGGTGGGTTAGTTGTGTCAAAGGACTGGAAATCCGGGGCTCAATCCAAAGCATCTCCCACAAAAGAGGCACCAGGCAGATGGCTTGGCTCTGACTCTGCAGGTTGCTGGAGAAAGAGCACATGACAGATCCAAGAAGGGTCAGAGGTACAAGTTGTCATTTTGCTTTCAGCTAATACAAGAAGATCCCAAACAGAAAATAAGTTCCTGCAGTTTCCTTTGGAATGGGCCAGATTTAGGATAATCGCCCCTTTTTAACTTGCAAGGGAGAGCTGAATCATGCATGTACAACGCTAACGCAGTGTGCTGAAGCTGCTGCAAGCTGGCCCAGATGGCCATTAATGAGAGGAGGGCTCTGTAGACATCTTCCAACGTGTTCCTTCCCAAAGGCAAGTTGCATCTTGTAGAACTGGCTTGTTAGTTTAACAGCTTTGGAAAATACTGTCTTCAGAGATACAAAGCAATGGATTTATTCAGCTTACAGCAACCTAAAACCTACTGCAGAAGTTTCACTGCTGTCTCTCTCCTGTATTGCTTAACGCTGCAAACAATAAGTAATGCTTGGAAGGTGTAGCCTTCAGAGCCGTTGGCTAGTTTGCAGCTCAGAAAGGTACTTGCATTTCTTTAAGGATAAGAAAATCTGTATGGAGAGGAGGAGGAAAACAGCAGGGTTTTTTTGCTTTTTTGTGACTAAAATAAGAGCAGCTGTTCTAAAAATTGTGGTGGTACTGTGGTCCCTGTATTAGGAGGAACAGCAATTCAAATCTTGGGTATCCTGAAAACACAACAGATGACTGAGCAAGTATTGGATTCCTGAGAATTGCAGGACTCCTGAGTTTGCAGGAGTCCTCAAAGAACAGCTCAGCAGTATAGAAGTCTGTGCTGCTGTGTTTTGTAAGATTTAAAAAAAAAAAGGCGGGGGGGGGGTAGAAAAAAAAGGAATTCTACTTTCAGACAGACCTACTTTATGTAACAAACAAACAAAAACTTCAGAAGTGCAAGAACACTTCTCACAGGTCATATATAAGAAGCAGAGAGAGCTGCAAGATAAACATTTGAGCATGTCAGCCATTTGCTATTCAGCACTGACCTTTTAAAAAACTTCCCCCATCTTTGAGCACACTTGCAGAAGAGCCAAAAGCTTGTATTTATTGCTCCTTCCATGCTCAAACTTCCAATTTACCTTCCTCAGACTGAGCCCCATTTTCCCCATAAAACATGGGTTAAATGTATCAGGTTTAATTTGTTCAAGCATAAAGAGGGGGGAAACTCTCAAGAGTAACTGGAGGTTTTAAAATATTTTAACTATAACATTGTAACATTTATATTTCATTTGAAACTGACCACACACAGAAGTTCGTTTTTTGCCAGTCAGTTGTGTATTTGGCAAGTCTCACCCTTCCAGAAGCCCTAAACTGAAAAACGTGGAGGAGAGTTTTGTTAAAACTAATCCCCTAAAACACAACAGAAGCAATGTAAAAATAAATTAGCTAGTTTACACATTAAAAAAGACAACAGTTTCTGGGAACAAACAGCAGTGGCAGCCACAGACTACATGGAAATGGCTCCAGAATGGGATACCGTCTTGTTAATACTTTGATTATGCAAACATACACGGTCTAGTGAAGCGCTCAATCTTGGCAAGACAGCTCCCTAGATAGTCAGTGTTGGCTGCAAGAGCTGTTTTTGTAACGATATTGTGATTTCTTTTTTAAAAGTCTATACTCTAAGTAAATGAAAATTAAGTCTCAAAATATTTTTGGGTACTTTAAGTAACTGGCTTTAATTAAAAGTTGGGTTTATAGTTCAAATTCCTTTTTTATTTAGTCTTTGGAAAATCCTACAAATGGGATCATCTCAACAGTCCTGAAAGGGAAATGGAAAAGGAGGGCTGGGAGAACAAAAATGAGCGTTCGATCCCACAAAACCCACAGGAACCCGGAATTCATGTTCATACTTATCTAAGTTAGATTGTGTTGGTGTTCTCACTAGCAATCAAAAGCCAAAGAGTATTGCCAATATATTTCCTCAGAAGTCATAAAATCCAATATTCTACCCTTAAAAAGACAGTTTAAGGTTATTATTATCACATTTTATTTCTATTAAAAATGATCCCACTGGAAAAGAAGCAGGTATGAAATGACAATTCAGGTCTCTAGTTGAGCTCATTAATGTTCTTAAAATGTTTAACAAGGTTCATGCTAATTGTTGCTAGACTACTGTCTTGTAGTAGCTTAGTTAATTCCACTTCTTTATAGATGTTTAACAAAGCTGACACCAATACTTGGTTAGCTGCTATTCACTCCCCCCCGTTAGTTAGCAATAGTAAAGAAAGCTCTGTCATTCCTACGGTAGCAGAACGAGAGCACTGAGACGCACACTAGCAGTCTACTCCAGCTTACTACTACAGTCTTACCATCTATTTAAAGCTGTTGTGATCTTAAGATAGCTGCCTGGCCTCAATATTAGAACACGTTTGACTTTACATGTAAGGACTGAATTAGCTACTTGATTACTTCTAACTGTGTTTACACATTGCATAGATGGGGAAGACAAGAGCTCAGGTGCAGTATGTTCCCCAACACAGCCTGTTGTACCTGTACAACAACCAGCCAATCTGGATCTGATAGACATGTCCAGACAGCGAAAGCCTTCCTTCACATGTGGTATCACATTGTCCTTGTAGACTGCTCCGTAAAATGCCATGGCTGGACAGGTAATGAAACCCACATGGTTTTCAGAACAAGGGAACACACCTGCTTGCCTTCAAAAGAGAGAGGGGTTCTACCACACAGAAGAAACGAGATCTTCACATATTTATTTCTCAGTTTGTCCACAATTCAAGCACTTTAGTCTCCAAGAAGATGATGTATTTCAACAGTCTCATGTTACCCAAATAATTTCCACATCTTAGATCCTATCTCACTGTTGAAGGCATACATAATGGCAACTCACTTTGTTACTAATTAACATCTCAGCAAAGGTTTCATTTAATCTTTACTACAGAGAGGAATCTCTTCTCCAGCCAGGCATACTGCTGGTGGTCAAGATGCAATGCTGAAAGCTGTTTGTATCACTTTCTGTGAATTCTGGTTCAGTTTCATTCCTCCCCTGCCACTGTCCCAAATAACGTCTGGCCTGACATAGTGGCTTAAGCAACACCTGCTTCTCACTTTCGTAACAAATACCCATTTGGCCTGTGAGTGGGGTGACAGACTATTCTAACAAATGAATATATTCATGCAAATCTCAATAGCTGCCCAAACTCATGAGAAGGGAACTGGAATTAACCTGCACTAAAACGTGGTGGCCTTGTGCCTAAGAGCTGCTGACACAGACCCTTGTATGACACCTGCATGGTCTAACTTGCAAACCCCCAGACCTTACACTGCAAACAGATCTGGTACTGGAACAGCTCAGCTAACATCCCTAAGTCATGTTTGAACGAGGAACATTTTCTGCAGATATCATTTTGCTTGCGTTAGTTTTGTAGGCAGAGCT